TGATCTAGCTATTCCACAGCTGAGTATTTATCCAAAGAACATGAAAACATGACTCCCTAAAGCGATACGCACCCCTGTGTTTATCACAGTATTATTCACAATAGCCAAGACTTGGAAGCAACCTAGGTGCCCATCAAAGGATGAATGGATAAAGAAGATGTGGTAATATACATACAATGGAATACTACTCAGTCATAAGAAATGATGGAATCCAGCCATTTGTGACAACATGGATGAAACTGGAGGGTATTATGCTAAGTGAAGTAAGTCAGAGGGAGAAAGTCAAATATCGTATGCTTTCACTCATAAGTAGAATGTAAAAACAATGACAAACAAACACATAGAAACAGATTGGATTGGTGGTTACCAGAGTGGAAGGGGGGAGGGAGGAGGGCGAAAGGGGTGATTAGGCACATGTGTGTGGTGATGGATTGTAACCAGTCTTTGGGTGATGAATGTGTTGTAATCTACACAGAAGTCGAAATATATAACAATGTACACCTGAAATTTATAGAATGTTGAACAACCGTTACCACAATAAAAAAGAATTTAAAAAATAGAGAATAGAAAAATAGTGGAGAAAAATCAATGAAATCAGAAGTTGTTTCTTTGACTAGATTGACAAAATTCATAAAACTTTAGCTAGACTGACCAGGAAAAAAAGATATAAGACTCAAGTTACTAAAATTTGGAATGATACAGCAAACATTACTGCTGACCTTACAGAAATAAAAAGTATCGCAAGGGAATACTATGAAATATAATAAATTTGATAACCTAAATGAAATGGACAAATTCATAGAAACATACAAACTACTAAAACTGACTTAAGATAAATGGAAAATGTGAATAGAATATAATAAGTAAAGAGATTGAATTAGCATTCAAAAACCTTTCCACAAAGAAAATTCCAGGAGCAGATGGCTTCACTGGTGAATTTTGCCAATCATTTAGGGAATAATGAACACCAATCCTTTGCAAAAACTTCCTAAAAATAGAAGAGGAGAGAACACTTTCCAATGTACTCTATAAGGCCAGTATTACCCTGATACCGAATAGGCAGAGACATCAGGAAAAGAAAACTATAGACCAATATCCTTTGTGATTACAGATGCAAAAATCCTTCAAAAATACTAGTTCACGAAATCCAGCAACATATAAAGAGGATTTATATGCTATGACCAAGTGGGATTTGTCATGTCAGAAATACAAGGTTGGCTCAACATATGAAAAATCAAAATAATATACCATATTAGTAGAATAAACGACAAACCATATGATCTTCTCAAGATATGCTGTGAAAGCATTTGACAAAATCCAACACCTTTCAAGGAATTGCTAGCTGAGTCGCTTTGGGCATGTCACTTAACCTTTCTGTACCTGATTTTTCTTAAGTACAAAATAGAAATGATAACAGTAATTACATCATGGAGTTGTTGTGCAGATTAGGTAAATAAATATAGGTAAGGCACTTAGAATACTGTCTGGCATATAATAATGCTGAAGAAAATTTTACTATTATTATTATTATTATTACCTTGAAGTATTTGTAACCTATACCAAGCATTCAATGCTTCTGGGCATTTTACAAAGCTCTTTGGTAAAAATGTTCATTTTCTCTAACTACCAACCCTGCCTATATCAATGGAAAGTTGCTGTTATCTAAGCCTGTTCAGTTAGTGAGAAGGAAATCCCAGTTACTACAGAAATAGCTAAAAGGTGGTGGTGCTCCAATGTGAAGGATGAGCTAAAAATCTTCCAGGGACTGTGCTTGAAAAAATGTTTTCTGCCCTTTAATACATATAGTGTCCAGTGTTATGAACTGGTTTGGAAATTGACCTTGTGGTCCCTTCCTTCCACTGAAGCAAAAGAAAATTGTGTTAAAAAAAAAAAGGTATAGGATTTAGGATCTTGCTTTTCTTTGTTTTCTGAAAGGTTTCAAGACATATGCTAATTAATGCAAAACTAGTAATTAAATGGCTTCCCTTCCTAGAACACTGCCTTGATTTTTATAGGCTCTGTGTTCATTTAAAGAATTTGAGAGTTACCAAAGCTGTTAGCTGAACCCTAAATCATAGGCATAGTTAAAATGCTTCAGTTACATTTGTACTGTTTCTAAGGAAACTAGCATAGTGTTGAGTCTCTGGCACTTGGGGTGACTTCACCCAGTCCTTTGATATTGTTGGCAGAAAGAAAAATTGATTTGGGTTTGGAGTGTGAAGGTCTCAAGCATCTGGCTGTTCTTTTTCAAGTGTGTAAATTCCCAGTTGGAACTTAGTCATATTTCAGTAACTTTCTTTTCAAACAGATAAAAATGAAATGTATACTCCCCCAGTTAGTTCTGAATGCACTTTTCAGCTGCATATTCATTCTCCCCCCCCTCAGTGGCAAAGACATCAGCAACTCAATGAAGGCTTTTTTTAAAGGACATTTTGGGTTAAATTGTGTGGCTATAAACTGGCTGTTTTGAGAACACCCTGGAAAAGCTTTCATTTTCCTTCTTCCACCTTACAAATATTAGAGAAGGAAAACTAGAATGTTTGCAGTGAGCAGTGAGGTGAGGGCAAAAGGGGATGGTAGTGGAGAAGCTTCAGTACTTTCTTGTTCATGGGACTTTTTTCTTTATGTGTGTGCACTTTTTGTTCTAAAATAACACCTTGATGTGGACTTGTTTCTAAATGCATGAAATGGCACATGTTTTTAGCTGAGAAGTAAAAAAAGACACGCTGCTGCTTTGCCTAGGCAAGAGAGAAGGTCAGGGAGGAGAGTTTTCGTGAACATTACTAATATTAATTTTGGATTAAGCAGACATGGACCCTATCCTCTCGCACAAATAAAAAATTACACAACAGCATGTAAACTTATACCTGTGAAGAAAGCAATGAAGAAAATTCCGTGATACTGTAAGAACATATAATAAGCGGATATGACCTGAACTAGGTGTTAAAGAAGGGTTCCCTGAATGCATGATTACTGAGATAATTTCTGAAGCATGAGTAAGAATTCACTTGGTGAAAAGGAGGCAAGGGAGGGGGGGAGTGTTCCAGGCAGGGGGAATAGCATGCTTAAATGTCCATGGTGTGAGGGATCATATCTCATTCTAGGAAGCTGAAAGTCAGTGTGGTGGCTGGACCTCAGATAGAAGAAGAATATTGCTAGAATGGTACATGGCCTAGTGATATGGTAAAAGACCCCAGAGTTGTTTGAGAGATTAATCAGAAAGGTATTTGAGTATCTTAGGGAGAAATGAAAGCAGGTGAATTGGAAGACTGAGAGATATTAACCCAAAGAGGAGAAAGATAGTGAGCTGGTCATACAGACAGTTGGATAGTGACCATGACTATAGGTCGGTCTTAATTACTATAAGTGCATTGAGTTGCAACAATTGAGCACTCCCTGCAAAAACTCTTCTCACCCTTCTTTTCTCTTCACAAGCCAGCTTCCTTCTCATCTTATCTCACTTCACACTTCCTGCATTTGATCACTTGAGCCTGGCCACCTAGGAAGATTTCCCCTTCTTTTCTTAGCTTATTTAAATACTAATCATCCATCAGCTTCCAGCTCAAATCCCACCTCCTCTGGGAAGCCCTCCTGGCCCTATCCATGGGACTTCATCTCCATCCTCTGATCCAATACAGAACTTACTCTCCATATAATTGCTTTAGTGTTTTTCAAAATTCGCCTTTGGTATCTCACTCTTTAATGTGTCTTGTGTCCAAACCTAGACTGTGAAGCCCCGCAGGGCAGTCACTATATCTTTCTCTTATAGATTGACAAATGCACCAAGGGCTGGCCGAGGCCCAGAGTGAACGAATGACAACTTGCAAAGACACAGTCAATGTCAGCATCTGACAGAAATAGGTATACTTGAGATAAGTGGAGAGGGGAACAGGAAGAACAGAGACCGGAAGGCAGGCAGAGGGGAACAGCAGAGAAAGCGCTTTTTAGAATCAGTCTCAGGTAACAAGGCTAGTAACAGCTTGACACTCACTTGTTTACTGGCCTTGACTATTAGTGAGAACAGCCACAATAGAGCTAAAGAAAGAGGGAGAATAAAAAAATGTGAAGCATATCTTATTTGGGAAGTAGCTTAATTACACAGACTAAAGTTTTCAAGCAGGCAGAGGATGCCCCAATTCTCCAGGGGTGTGGTTCTGCCAAGAGAAGGAAAGCATCTTTTCTCTGGCCCAAGAGTTTTATTCCAGAAAAGGGAGAGGGGTTGCTGTTGGTAGTACTGTTGGCAGTGGGTAGAGGTAGAGGAGAGGATGGGGGGGGTGGCGGAGAGAAAGGGATAGCAATAAATTTACAGATGGATGAGTGAATTTCTGCAACAAATTCAGATCAGAGAGAGGGAGGGAAGAGGGCAAAAAATAGGGAGGACAAAAAAGCAGGGTGGGTGACCAAGGCAGTCAACCTATAGGAAAAGAACTTGCCCAAGGGAGAGGAAGTATACGGTTGAAGATAACTCCCAATTATAAACAGATTGCATCTGTACTATTTATTTTGGTTTTTAGCAAACCTCTGAAAATTTCATGGTAATTAGACTTCCTGCTAGGCAGTTATTTAAGAGAAATATAGACCCTCCTCTTGCCACAGAGACTCCCTAGTCCATGGAAGGGGGTATTAGGCTCTGGGACCCCAATGCATCTCCATCTGAGGGCACTTCACTGGCTAAGTAACTGTAGGTGAGTATACTGCATTTTATTTTTTTGCAGTGGTGGGTGGGAGGTTTAATTTTGCATAATATAATACGAATGTATTTATGATACCATTCACTTTTCCCTTTCCCTGCTTCTTACTTATAATTACTAATATTGTTGTTGTAATTATTTTAAACAAGTTGGAGCAAACATGGGCTGCTCATAATGAAACACTCCTCCCATTTTGGAGTTGTCTCCTCCTCCTCATTAGAATTGTAGGGAGGTAGCAGTCCTGCAGCAAAGACAGGCACACAGGCATTCTCTGTGGATTAATTCGTCAGGAAAGACACTTTTTATATTGTTAAGTGTCACTTAAGCTGCTAATTCTTGACTGTGAAAACTGCTTTTTTCTGCGCAATGCTCTTTAAGGAAAAACTTCTTCAGTCCAGTGATTGGTGACTAAGGGAAGGATGGAGCACAGGGAATTGGGCGGGATCTCGGCTCCTAATAATGCCTCCTTATCCAATCAAAAGCATTTCCTATTGAGACCCCCAAGAGTTCCCCCGGCCCTCGGCTCCAGCCAGGACTTTGGGCCTTTTCTTGTGTCCTGTTTGTTAAAGGCATGCTGGCTACAGCATTCAAGAGGGCCATTCCTTAACAAAGGGAAAGAGATAAATGTAAATAAGCTCACATTTTCAGAATGAGCGGTTTGCTGTGAGAAGCTGCGGCAGCCCAGAGTCTGCTACTTTGGACTGGACTAACCTTTCCCTGTAAAAAAATAATGGATTAAAATATGCACTTCTAAAGTGCTACTTGCCCGTTTATGTGTTTATTAGCTAATTGTCTACAGGCATGAGCACACTCTCTCATCTAGCACACTCTCTCTTGGGGTAAGTCGCTTTGAGAAAGATTTGATTTGGGTGTTTGGGGGTGGAGGGACGGCGTAACAAACTTCAGTGGAAACACTGATGCTTTGAGTCGAGAAAGAAGTTAGATTCTGAAGTGTTGAACAGGGATCGTCGTGTTGAATGATTAAAAGAAAAAAAAGCAAGAATTTCTATTGTTTTGGCAATAACATTGTTTCAGTGGAAGAGATACAGGATTTTCAGGCTGTTCTTTCATGTAAACTTAGTTGTCCTAAAGAACTGATTTAAAATCGTGGAGTAGAGCAATTTAGAAGTTTTTTCGGCTGGCTTTATATTATTTCTTTGGTTTATAATCGATTGTGAGCTAATGTGGTTTCTATTATGATGAGATGTCTTCTAGTAAAATTATATGCAGCATGCCTTTGATGCTTAATTGATTTATGGAGAATGTGACATTTGCTATGTTGAATTATTCCTGAATTTGACCATAAAGGAGAAAACATATTTCATTGAAAAACTAATTCTAGCATAAATTGAATTTGATATTGTATGTGAAATTAATTGCTTTTTGCCATACAAATACAATATTGTGGCATATTTAAAATTCTCTTGTATATTCTGAATATTTTTAAAATTTTTAGTGACAAGATCTTGTGGAATTGATAAATATTGTATTTTAGTTACTTTATTTTAGGAAATATAGCAATATAATTCATCATTATTCCAGCATGGAAAAGACCAGACAAATCCAAAGGTTAGAACATTTCAGAACTTGGTGGGGTTATTCACTTTGCTACCTTACCAAATTATACCACCTTTCTTTTTCCTTGACTAACATGAAAACAACAGTAATAACCTGAGCTACAAATTGTCCAGTGGATTTGAAACATTTATTTTTCAGAACAAAATTCCAAACAACATATCCCATCAGCATAGATTGTGAATCCTTTTGTCTTGTCACAGATGAAAAGTTGCTCTCTTGCTAAAAAGGCTGAGTTCAGCTGATAAACTTGATGATGTCTATACTCTAAAGCATCTCCTGCCAATCAGAGATGCGAATGAAAGTTGTATTGGAACAATCAGAGGAGGCTTTCAGAATGTGTACTCTCTGTAAATTAAAGACAGAACTGGGAAGATGCCTCACAGCAACACTCACGCCTAGCTTAGCTAAAGCTTCATCTATTCAATTCTCTTTGAGAGACAATGCATTGAGAATTGTTGTCCCTGCTGTGGTGTGATCAGCGTCTAATTGTGTAGTTGTCTTTTTTCTGTGTGTAATCATCACGTATAGTCTGCTCTTGGCCGTCCTAAGGGGGAAGAAAAAGTCCTATAATGTATTTGTGAATATTAGTACTGAAAATCAGGAGCTTGGTAGGAGGTCACCTACCACTTGGAATCCAGCCTTGCTTTTAGTAAACAAGTAGTTGGTTGTCAGAACACTGCATAGGAAAAGTAGTCTACTGATTCTATATAGTTATGTTCTGAAGTATTTTGATAACCTTATAGTTTGAGGAGACAGGTGACTGGGGAACAGGTAGAAAAGATTGAGGATTAAGACCTAGACAGTTAGAGCTGATATGGGCATAAAGACAGAGGATGAAAAAAATGAGGGCATTAGGAAGACTTTAGGATATAAATGGCATCCTGATCTGTGATTCTTAGCTTCTGGCACTAATTAATAATATTTACTTCTGATATTAAAATAACTCTAAACTATGTATGGTGACGGATGTTAAGTAGACTTATTGTGGTGATCATTTCATATTGTATACAAATATCGAATTATGTTGTACACCTGAAACTAATATAATCTATGTCAATTATACCTCAATTAAGAAAATAAAGTAAATAAATCTAACAATAAATTCATTGAGCCTAATAAAAATTAATTCCCTCTGTCTCAGACTTTGAGGGATTAAAAAATTATTTTTTCAGTGACAAATGTGAGCAGGTGAAAACAGTTGACGTGAGGGAACAACCAGTGAGGCTACTGCCATAGCATCAGTTGAAGGCTGATGTTAATCAAGGCCAAAGGTGGAAAAGAGAAACTGAGGTCCAGAAAGAGACTCTGAATTGCTCTCACACAGTTTGCTAGTGCTGGGGCTGGATGTGGCTATACTGAATTAATACCAAACAAGAAAACTTCTGGGTATTCGAACTTCTTAGTTTGCTTGGATTCCAAATAAAAAGAAGTTTTCTTTATAATCTGTACCAATTGCGGAGGCCATCAAAGAAAGAAATGTTAATGTTTCTGTCTTTCTTTAAGATAAACCAGTAAAATAATATTACTTTCATTCCAGAAATACTGATCTCTGGAGGAGTGTGAAAATCAATTCTCTTTAATATTAAGGTGATCTCAAGTATATTTTAAATTGTCTACTGATTTTACTTTTTAATTTTGGTTCTCTTAGAGAAACATTATTTCAGGAGAATTGGAGTATTATTTAGCAGTCAGCTTTGCTTTGGCCACCTTTGTTCAGAAGAGGGTGAAATGCGACAATAGTATGAGTTTGACACTAACAGATGATTCTATCTTACAGGTAGGAAATGAGTAGCACTCAAATGCAGGTGCTATTTATAATAATCCCAATACAGAGTATTTCTCATTCTATATAAATATTTTGTGCAGAGTCGTGATTTAAAGATGTTATAGAGATGCTACATTGGGTAGGCCTAGGACATCCTAGTAGATGCGGCAATGTTTGTCAGTGTGCTAATACCAGTAATTGAAGCCTTTCTTATATCACTGTAGTGCAGGGGAGAAAGAAATCTGGCTGGAGTGGGGGTGCAGGTTAGACACAAGGCAGTGGGCCCTCCACCTGTTGTTTCCGTCTTCTTTCCTCTTCCCTTATCAAGGCCCCTGCCCAATAGTAACAGCTGTTGCCAGGGAAAAAGAAAAGAAAAAAAAAAGAAAAACAAAGAACCAATATAACTTCAAGCCAAAAAAAGAAATCGCCTCTGTTCAGTTATTTTTAATGTAATATATGTAATCTATTACCTTGTGGAAGTGGAGGAAGTATTTTTATGCCTTTTGTCACTAATTATCTTTAAATGATTATAGGTAACACAGACTCATGGACTTCTTGCTTATCAATATAACTAATAAAATGTGGCACAGCAATGACAATGGAAAATAAAATGTTATCTGCAATTCTATAATAACGAAATCCAAAGCATTTAGAAAACATTAAAAAATATGTTGGCTCTCATTTGCTCTGATTTGTGTCATATAGTAAATTTCTTTACCTTATGATCTTGGTATAAATTTCATTGAAAAACTCTCTCTGTGGCACACTATTCTGACTAATTCTATTTTACAACATACACTGGAGGAAATCTTTTAACCACAGTACCTCAAGAAATTTTATTGATTGCCCAAGTTTCAGATAAAATCAGTACCAGAATTTGGTCTGAACTAATGTGGTCGGTACCATTCTCCTGGTAATACCTTTCTCCAAAATTCTTAATTTCATTTTCCAACTTTTTTTGTTATGAATACTTCCAATTTATTACAGAGTATGTGATCCAAAAATCCATAATGGATGAAGGAGTTCTAATTGTTTGTTATAATCTAGGCAATTTTGATATAGATTAATACTGATTCTTTGATTTAAGCACTCTGTGCCATTGTTATATACTTTTAGAAATGGAAGACATTTTTTTTTTTTGAGGACGATTAGCCCTGAGCTAACATCTGCTACCAATCCTCCTCTTTTTGCTGAGGAAGATTGGCTCTGAGCTACCATCTGTGTCCATCTTCCTCCATTTTATATGTGGGAAGCCAGCCATAGCATGGCTTGCCAAGCGGTGCATAGGACTGCACCTGGGATCTGAACTGGCAAACCCTGGGCCACTGAAGCAGAACGTGTGAACTTAACTGCTGTACTACCTTGCCGGCCCCGGAAGGCATGGTTTATATTCACATTATCAGGATCAGTATCCAAGTATATCAGATGAATTGATATGCAAATTGACAACTATTTGCCTGTTCAAATATGTGGAATAAAGCCAAATTTTTAGTTGGCATGTATGAACCTCATACAATTTGGAAATTAGTTCTTTTAGGAACATCCAAAATTTTTCCCAAAAGTTCTGGGACTCCTGCTGAAATGAGATATTGAGTCTCAAGACTCTAGACAATTTCATAGTATTAGACTGAGCAATTTCTCTGAAGTTGTCTTACTCTCTAACTAACTGCTAGGAAAAATTCTGCTTTAGTGAGATTGGTGCACTCTTTGACCCCATCATGTTGAGCACTAAACCACACTGTTTTCCAAAGATTAGACTGTGTCATCAAGTGAAAGATTAGTGGCAGACTGGAATATTTTTTGGTGAAAAAGAATCAAGTTAATCATTGAGGATAGGATCTGCTCAGATAAGGGCCTGTGTCAATTTCCTGCTCTCTTCAAATGAAGTAGGGGACAAAACAGCTATAATAATCTCAGTGCAAAGCAAATTCAACCTACAGAAGCCATTTTTAAAAGGATATTTCTTGCATCAAAAATAAACGAGGCTTATCAATCTAAACATTTGACATGCAGTGGGGCTTGCTTGAGATGAGACATGATACAGAGTAATTTCCCAGCTCAGTTTTGGAGTGAAATATTTACCCATCGTTTCCTCCATATGTAATGTCATAAGGCTAGGTTGTGTTTTGAAATCTTTTAAGAAACATCAACCAATGCGTAGAAACATCATTTGGAACCATGTGTATGATTGTGACCTGTGCCTGTGACTTGGTCTAGAAGATTTCCTTAAGAAGTCTTATCTGCCAAACAGCCACTCATCTGAGGAGCAACAGTCTGGACGCATTCGCTATTATTCCAACAGGATGGTTCTGATCTGTATTTTTTACAACATTTTTGTATTTTTTAGTTTGCTCCACTGCTATATATTTATAGGCAGTGACACAACAGCTTTCAGCTTCCTTTGAAAACTATTTGGTCAATGTGCCTAAGCTTCAACCAGAGTAAAAAGAGGTAAAATTCTGGGGATGAGACACTTGGGGATCTGATGTGGCCCAAGCTTATTTAAAAAGGAGCAAAGCAAGAGAATTTGAGTATACTCTGCCTTCAAGGCCTCATCTTCCTGAGCTCTGGATTGTCTTCTGTAGAGAACAAAAGCAAGCCAGCTTTTCTTGGCTACTGGGCATATGCCAGAAGTTAGAGCTTTGTTTTCTTTTTATTTTTTCTAGTTTTTTTCTTTATTGTGGTAACATTGTTTTATAACATTATATAAATTTCAAGTGTACATCATTATATTTCGAGTTCTGTGTAGATTACATCATGTTCACCACTCAAAGGCAATCCATCACCACACACATGTGCCTAATCACCCCTTTCAACCCTTTCCCTCCCTCATTCCCTTCTGGTAACCACCAATCCACTCCAATCTCTCTTCCTGTGTGATTGTTGTTGTTTTTATTTTCTACTTATGAGTGAGATCATACGGTCTTTGACTTTCTCCCTCTGACTTATTTTGCTTAGCATAATACCCTCAAGGTGCATCCATGTTGTCATAAATGGACTGATTTCATCATTTCCTATGGCTGAGTAGTATTCCATTGTGTATATATATATATATACACAGAGCTTTGTTTTCAATGTATCGTCTGAAAGTTTAACACTTAGTGAAGTGAAGTGATTTAGGTATTCATCTTTATAGGGCCTCCTCCAGGAGCCTCAAAGACCCAAAACATGGAATATTTCATTATCATCAGAATTTTTTAAAAAGGAAAAAATTGTGAACAATACTATGAACTGTCTGAATTGGCTCCATATGTGTAGGTCAAAGTTAAAAGTTCATTGAAGGTCAGATTTCTCTTTGGTCAACCTCCTGGTGACCTATTTCCTGCCCATTGTCAGTGAAAATACATCCACACAGCACTCTGAACCCCCTAGGTGATTAATTTTTGGAATAATTGGCTGCAAAGTTCTTTGCAAGACAATAGTCTAATGCTAATGCTACTTACGGCGGAAGATGTAATTAACTTCATCAACCTATTTTTTCCTTCTTCATCTCATCCGAAGCTCAAGTATTAGCCCTTTGCTTTCATTCAGTGCACAATATGTTAGACATTTAGGAAAATCTAATGGCTAAAAAACAGTTTCTTGTAGTCAAAAAAAAAAAGGAAGCCAGTCACAAGAGAGACCTTGTTTCTTGGATATCATTGATTCTCCTTCAGAATCAGCTTAAGAGCCAAATGTCTCTCTGATTTTTTTTTACCATAGCTCACAGGGAGATATTCCTTTGGGAGTAACCTCCTGGATTGTCCTGTTATGAGAAAATTGTGTAGTTAAGGTTGAAACTCAAGGAGGGCTCTCTGAGGTATAGGGTATACATAAGAGAAAGATGTGTTGCTAATATGAAGTTCAGTGTACCAAGAAAGACAGAGACGTAGGTGTCCAGTTGTGTCAGGGGAGAGAGAAGGAAAGAAGCTTCTATAATATTTCTTTGTGGTTGGGTAGACTGAATGCTGGCAAGCTCATAAAGCTACTCATAAGCCCTGTTGAATCTTCCTACCCTCAGCTGTGAGGCTCAGAGGTAATGTTTATACAGGGAAGAGAAACAGTATAGCCAAGTTACAGAGTGAACCAGTGTCTGAGTCAGAAATAGAACTCCTTGCTTCCAATGCTGTGTTAAGTCTCAGGACCACACCCTCACTGCTAGACAGCAAAGGTGCTGTGTGTTTGAGCAAGGGAAAGCTATGAATAGGGCCTTAGTGGCAGTTTTCCCATGCCCTCTCTTCAAGATTGAGACTGTAATGCTTTCTCGTCTGTGGTCCTTTCTCTCCCACAGGATTTGGTTACTGAAAGCAACAAAGTAGAAGTGCTAGGCATTTGCAGACTGCCTGCTGTGGGTATATAGTGTATATGTTCTGGGAGACATAAAACTGAATGGAAAACTGGGAGACTAAGCTCACCTAACTGAAACACACCATCTTGGGAAGTACAAAATAATACGTAGCCAGTAAGCTAGAAGCATGCTGTGTAAAGGGGTCACCAGTGGGCTGACTGAGGGACTCTGGACAGAAGTAAAAAGGCTTCTATTATGAAAGCATTTTCCAAATAAAATAAATTTATTGGCAGTACTTATTGTAGAAGGCAGTGGCAAGAAGATCCTCGTGAATGAAGCTTGGCTTTAATTTTAGGGGTTTTTCAGTACCATAATTTCTTTAGATTGTGTGACTATGTTAGAGGGATATTTTTTGACTATCTTGATTTCTTTCAGCAATGAGTAAAAGGCCTCCGGACTAACGAGTAGTGAGTGGGGGTGTTAAAAATAGTGTACAAAATGATTTGAGCAGTTGAGAAATTTACCATTCTCTTTTTCTTCCTGCCACCTCCTTGGTGAAACAATCTGCAGAAACTTGGGGGCCTGCAGCCCCCAAAGTGAGTTATGAACTCCATTGACTGAGATTTTCCAAGCTCTTCCTGTTTTTGCTGATCAGTTTCAGTGACCTTTAACATAATGATTGCACACTGTTCTTTTTTCTGAGAAAACTGGCAGGAGAACTATGAAGCAAGGTAGAGAGGAGGGGATTGGAGGAATTGTGAACTAGAAATATCTCCCGAGACCCTGCATACAAATTGGATGGCAGCACTCACCTCTCCCCAAGATGCTCTTTTTTTCACCTTTTCTTCTCTTTTTCTCAATTCTCCAGTTTTTCTTTCTGTGCTGCATTCTTTCCCATTTCCATTTCCTCTTCTTCTCTCCCCACCTATTTTTATTTCTTTCCCGTCTGGCTTTTTTTCCCCCTAGACCTTACTTAGTCAGGGTGCCTACCATACTCTGCTTTTACATATCAACATTGCTTCTGGCAAAAGTTGATCTGGGCCTATGAGATGAAATGGCCAAGAAGGAAGGAATATGGTCTTAATGCAGTGGTAGGCTCAGGGGAGGAACTCCACAAAGATTTGCTGAATGAGAATTCAGGATTAACAAGTATCCAATTTTAACTTGAAAACTTTAACTATTAAAAATGACAACCTTTTGCTTTGCACCCCATATTCTCCAAGGTCATCTCTCCCTCTAGGCACTGCAGTGAGTAAATGTTTTTTTCTCAAACTAGTTTTGTCTTAAGCCAAACGCTGGTTGAAGTGACTTCAGGCCTCTATATCTCTTGCAGGTTTCCCCTCTACTTCCTTCTCTGTTATATACAGAGGCCCTTTGACCTGTTCCCTGGGAGTTGGAAGGAAAGAGTGACGTAAGGAGAAATCACTTCAGAGAAATGCCTTTCACATTTTAAAATATAATCATGTGACAACCCATTACTGGATATGTCAGGGGACAAAGACCACTTTTATTCCATATCCTCCTCATTGAAAATAATTCATTCAGCAGCTACTTGTCCATAGTGTATTATAGAGATTTCAAAAGACAGTCCCTGTCCAATGGCAGCTGTTGACCTATTAGAAGGTTAGTAAGATTTCTGTATGCACCTTTGAACAATGTTAGCCCAGATACCCAGCAAAGATGATTAAATCAATGACTGACACATGTGCAAGCAGTGGTAGGCATGCTGGCCAGATTAGAAGTGTTCAGCAGGGCATAGTGATCTCTATTCATGTCAAATCTACCTTTCACATTTCACTTGTATTCAGCCAAAAGGAAACTTTATTGACCAGGGCCATTTTAGGAACTGAAGGCATAAAAGTAACTGATGGAATGGGCAGTGGGAGAGGGAGAAGAAAGACATCTTCGGCTTAGGGTCTAGCATGAGAGAAGCTTGGAAAAGGGACGACAATCTGCAGGAGGGAAACGCTGAGATTGTTATTTGAATTCTCTCTCTAGGAAGACCCTGTAATGCAGTGAAAAAACTTTAAGCCAGAAGCTTTAATTAACTGAGGGATCCCTGCTCTCTGAACTCATGTCTTAGAAGAAAAAGGTGAATCAGGAGTTTAGTCACAACTTTTGTAGGAACATGCCCTGGAGGTCCCATATCCACTGGTAGTCTTATGCAATGAAACTAATACTCAGACAATGAAGCTTAGTAATTTTGGAGAGTAGACAATACAGTTTAGAATAGCTTAACAATCTTTTGGTTAGGAATAAAAAAACCTGAATTCTGGTTCTGAGTACAGTATTTACATGTTCTTCCAATTCTGAGATTATTGTAATTCTAAATCACATAAGCCTCAGTTTCTGCTTCTGTAATATGGTGATAAATTCCTGTCTTGTTTACCTTATGGTATTCTTGTGGGAATCAAATAAAACACGCTTTCGAAAGTTAAAGAAGTGCCTTACAAATTTCACAGTATTAATGTTGTTTCAACTCAGAGTTTTTTCCCCCTTCCTTGGGCTTTTGGGTAACCAACACCTTACACCTGTTCACTGCAATGCTACAGTATTGCACTTACTGTACTGAGTGTGATATCTTCCACTCCTGCAACATACTCTTGTAGTACCTTTTAACATATGGTAGGTGCTCAAAAGGTACTTGTCAAACCAAATTGAATATGCATGTTATTTCTAATCTGGGTGGACAGAATATTTTTCACTCCACAGAAATCATGGATGGAAGGCAGATTTGATGATTCATTCCATCTTGTCTCCCATAGGACGAAAACATTTCCTACCAGTCCCTAGTCTCAGAGTGGTGAACCCTGCAGCCAGCAGGCCTCCTGAAAAAAATCCATGGGTGACAGAAGATTCATTGACTTCCAATTCCAAGATTTAAATTCAAGCCTCAGACCCAGGTTGGGCAATGCTACTGCCAATAATACTTGCGTTGTTGATGATTCCTTCAAGTATAATCTGAATGGTGCTGTCTACAGTGTTGTATTCATCCTGGGTCTGATAACCAACAGTGCCTCTCTGTTTGTCTTCTGCTTCCGCATGAAAATGAGAAGTGAGACTGCTATTTTCATCATGAATCTGGCCCTCTCCGATTTGCTCTTTGTCTGCACTCTACCTTTCAAAATATTTTACAATTTCAACCGCCACTGGCCTTTTGGTGACACCCTCTGCAAGATCTCTGGGACTGCATTCCTCACCAACATCTATGGGAGTATGCTCTTCCTCACCTGTATTAGTGTGGATCGTTTCCTGGCCATTGTCTATCCTTTCCGATCTCGTACCATTAGGACCAGGAGGAATTCTGCCATTGTATGTGCTGGAGTCTGGATCCTAGTCCTCAGTGGTGGTATCTCAGCTTCTTTGTTTTCCACCACTAATGTCAACAATGCAACCACCACTTGCTTTGAGGGCTTCTCCAAACGTGTCTGGAAGACTTATCTGTCCAAGATCACCATATTTATTGAAATTGTTGGGTTTGTCATTCCTCTGATATTGAATGTCTCTTGTTCTTCTGTGGTGCTAAGAACTCTCCGCAAGCCTGCTACACTGTCTCAAATTGGGACCAATAAGAAAAAAGTGCTAAAGATGATCACAGTGCATATGGCAGTTTTTGTGGTATGCTTCGTACCCTATAACTCCGTTCTCTTTCTGTATGCCCTGGTGCGCTCCCAAGCTATTACCAATTGCTTGTTAGAAAAATTTGCAAAGATCATGTACCCAATAACCTTGTGTCTTGCAACTTTGAACTGTTGCTTTGACCCTTTCATCTATTACTTTACCCTTGAGTCCTTTCAGAAGTCCTTCTACATCAATACCCATATCAAGATGGAGTCCCTGTTTAAGACTGAAATGCCTCTGACCACAAAGCCTTCCCTTCCAGCTATTCAAGAGGAAGTTAGTGATCAGACAACACATAATGGTGGTGAATTAATGCTAGAATCTACCTTCTAGGTACAAGAACTGTCTTTAGGTCCAGATATGGTTTCTCCTATGCTATGAATAGGAGAAAAGATTTGAAGCTAATGATACTGAGAATAGATTAATGTACTGAATACAGTCAGATACATTTATTTGAATGTTTATTGTACTTATGCTGTTTTGTTCAATAATTATAGGTCAGGTCTAATTACAACCACCAAAACTCTTCTGCTGGGTTAGAGTTTTATTGTATCACATTACATAAGTGGCCAGTGGCCTTGACTTTAGTGATATGGAGATTACTTTAATACTTTAAAGAATATATTTCCATTCTGATAATATTTGGTAGTTAGGTTGGGCCTATAAATATAGAACAAATTCAGGGATTATTTAAAAAAAAACCTTTTGTGTTACTACTGATATAAGCTAGTCTTTTTTAAACATTTTTTGAATTGTCATTGAGTTTATTTTAGCACAAGAACATATTTTAGCTTAACGTTATTAATAAAAAATGTATCAAATTTAAAGGAACTGGCAAAATTTATTGTATATATTTTGAAAGCACAAAAAAAATTGTGTTTGCATGAATATGGGTGAGAAGAAACAGAAAATTCACTGGATTTACACATTTACAGTTACCAGCAGTGTCAGTTTTTAAAAAGTTTTTCCTTTTTCTACGCTACATTAAGATTTGCATATGAAACTTCAAAGCCAGAAAGCTGCTGAATATGTGCCCAAGACAGGTGCAAAATGGAAAATCACATAAAACAACAAATATCCATAAAAAACCCTAAGCATCACCAACAGATTTTTCTTAGAATTTACAATCATCTTTCTTTCGAGAGGCTGATTTCTATAAAATATTCTCCATGTAAAATTTTGGAGCACAGTGCAGCCAGAAAGCTGCTGCATTTGTGTCTAGGTCAGGAGCAATGTGAAAAAAATTAACAATAAAATAGTAATAAAAATAAAACTATAAAACAAACAAAAAATCTTTCTCAAAGCTTGCATTAATAATTTTTTGGTGGGGAGAGAAGTAGAGATCTGTACCTTTAAATTACTTGTTCTTTCATATTAACTTTTGGAGCACAATGTAGTAAGAGATCTGCTGAATTTGTGCCCAGGTTGGGAGCATATTGAAAAAAATACATAAACCAAACCAAAACAAGCAACAACAAACCAGAAAAACTACAAAACAACAAAAAAAATTCTTTACACTTGCATTAATATTTTATTTATTTTTTAAGGATCCGTAATTTTAATATGATATTTTGGAGTACAACATAGGTAGAAATCTGCTAAATTTGTGCCCAGGTGAAGACCAAGTTGGAAAAAATCCCTGTAAAACAAAATAACCCCCTACAAAACAAAAGCACACAAAAATTTATAAATTGTATTGTTTTGAGCATTTGTAAAACTTGCAAAATACTATAACTTTCATATGATGCTTTGGAGCAAAATGCAGCTAGGAAGCTGCTAAACTGGTGCCTAGTTCAGGAGCAGTTAAAGTCAATATTTAAAAATGTACAAAAGAAAACATTTGTTATAACTCACTTAAACAAAAAAAAACAAAACAAAAAAAGTCCCTAAAAACTCTTACCATTTATTGGATGAAGTGTAGATTTAATAATGTTAAGACTTTTAAATAAAATATGGCTTGAAAGGTGCTACATTTGTGGTCATGTCAGAAGCAATGGAAATAAATACCCTCACATACACACTACACACATGCGCTCTACTCCACACACACGAGAACTGAAACACTGCAAAACAACAAAAATATTCTTAAAATGCACATTAATCAATTTAAAAAATATTTGGATGATGTGACAATTTAAAAATGCTAAGACTTTTTAAGTAAAACTTCCAGGAGCAGTGCTTCTTTTAAATTGCTGAACTTGTGCCAGAGAGTGATTAAAAAAAATTTAAAACTCTAAAACAGTAAAAAAAAAATCCCCCAAATCTTAAAGCAACAAGCACATTCTTAAAACTCTCATTAACTTTTGTTTTTCTTTCTAGTGATACATAGTTTTAGAAATACTAAGATTTTAAAGTGAAAATCTGCGAGCATAGTATAACTTTAAAAACGTCTAAATCTGTGCCTTGGTTAAGACCTAATTGGAAAAAATTGCTAAAACAATAGAACAAGAATAAAAATGAATTATCAAAAATGGAATTACTTTGTCCTTGTGATCTGAAGTCCTAAAAATAATCGTGCATTATATTGTCTTGTGGAAAAAAGTTACAGATAGAATATACATGGCATTAAGTTCAGTTAGATGGAATTAGGTTATGTTAAGATAGGCTAAGTTCATTTGTTAGGTTATGTTGTAAGATCAAATTAGTAATCAAAGTATGAATGATCTTTTTGTGTCTTTCAGTATTTTTTCTTTTCCATTTCTTGTTAGTATAAACTATATGGGAACTTTTGTTTGTGCCCTTGGCTCTCAAAATGATGAAATTTTAGGAGTATGACACCAAACCATTTAATGTGATGTATTAACCAACTTGACATAAGATATATCAATAAGCCAGTTTCCTTTTGTGTAATTTCCATATTTAGTTTTGTTTAATTTTCCATATTTCAGTTTATTTTAATTAATTTCCATTTTTTATAGTTGATATAACTTGCTAATAATAAAAACTTTTGTCGTATGAACAATGTAACCAACAAGATGTAATGTACAACTAAATGTAAAATAGACTCATTTTACATTTAAAAGCAACAGCAATCATTCAGCTGTAATTGCAACGTGGATTTTAAATGCTTATTAAATGTAATAAAATATATTTGGATTATCTAGCAGTTATACTTCAGTCAACTATTTATTCAACTTTGCCTGTATTTGTGAGCACCCAGAAGCATCTTTCCTTTATCTTCCCTCCATCCTTCAAGAAAGAACTTATTAAAGTATACTTGATCTCAAATGAATTTCAATACTTTGTTTTTGAGGCTGTCTGAAGACTGATGCAGAATTGCAAATGGCAAATTCCTGAGTGACTTTTCAGGGACCAAACTGAAAGATTAACTACCTCCTTCTCTTATTTGTCCAACTTGACTTTGATTCATTAGAGTTTCTTCCCAAGCTAACTCTTGAATCAGCTTTCTCAGATTTGATGGAATACTTTAGGACAACTAGGAGGTCTGGGGAAAGTCAGGGCAAACAGACCACCTAACAACAATGAGTTGATTTTGGAGCTAGGTGGCTGACTAATCAATAACTAAAACAGGTAGTCCTGTAGCGGCAGCACAGGGAATTCTTACTCAATGTCCTCATGACTTCCAACTCTCAGGGAAAGCCATGCCAGCATCTCATAAATCACACTGTGTATTGGTTCCCCATGAGATGACAACAAATGCTGCCTTACCTGACATGACCAGCACGATCAGCCCTAGGCTATGTTTAAAATTATAGAAACTGTCGTTAATGACCTTCTGGCAAGGACCTCAGAAAAAATGGGGACAGAGGTCATTTGTTTCATATCCCTAGTAGCCTTCTTCCACCTCTGTCTCCACTCCCAAACCCGTACACCTTATGTTTGCTATGGTTTCCCAAACTACCTGTCTTTCCTGTGGCCCTTTCCAACAGCTCTCCCCACCTCCTGTAGAAATGTTGCTTCTTTGCGGACCCAAAACAATACATAAACCTCTGACAAGACAGAGATAAGTTGAACAGATTTACACTAAAGTGTGAAAGATTGATCACTCCACCCGTTACTTTCTTTTCTGTTTTTTTTTAAAAGATTTTACTTTTCCTTTTTTCTCCCCAAAGCCCCCCAGTACCTAATTGTGTATTTTTAGTTGTGGGTCCTACTAGTTGTGCTATATGGGACGCCCTCTCAGTGGGGCCTGGTGAGAGGTGCCATGTCCACGCCCAGGATCCGAACTAGCAAAACCCTGGGCCACTGAAGCAGAGAGCGTGAACTTAACCACTCCACCACCAGGCTGGCCCTGCACCCACCACTTTTTTTTTTTTAAGATTTTATTTTTTCCTTTTTCTCCCCAAAGCCCCCCCGGTACATAGTTGTATATTCTTCATTGTGAGTCCTTCTAGTTGTGGCATGTGGGACTGTGCCTCAGCGTGGTTTGATGAGCAGTGCCATGTCCGCGCCCCGGATTCGAACCAACGAAACACTGGGCCGCCTGCAGCAGAGCACGTGAACTCAACCACTCAGCCATGGGGCCAGCCCCCGCACCCACCACTTTTAATCCTCTCTTTCATTCTTTGCATCTTAGAAAAGGAATCTGGTTAATTCAAATGACTGAAGCAGGGTTGGGATGAGGAGAGACGACTGTCTTGGCAAATAGTAAATCATCTCTTGAGCCTCAACCTCCCTTGCCTCATGGTAGAGCCTCTGCACTGCAACTTTCTTGTTCCACTTTCCTGACATTACCCTGTGCGCCACTGAGTCCAAAACATACACTGTTTTTCTCCAGATGTCCCTCTTTTCCACAGCTGCCTGTGGCAATGGGGAACCTGTGTTCTCATTTTGTATAGGCTTGGATTCTTTTCCCCGAAATTTCTCCTGATCCTGGTAGACTTGGTGAAATGGTTCTTAAAACATGAAGCCATTTGTTTCAACTAGGAAGCCAAAGCACAGACTACTGAGTAAAACTTTCCCCATATTCATATTTTTGAAGAGCTGTGTACTTCCCACTGTTTTGCTTCTTTCCCTCTCTCCAGTGTCTAGGTATGAAGCTCTTCTCTCCCAAACATCTAGGGAGGTACTGAGTTCGGGAGCACAGAGGAGTAGAGCCAGTGTGAGGCCTAAAATGTGGCAGTGAGGCAAGCCAGACAGGCTCTGAGATTGGGGTGACTTGCGTGGCCCTAGCAACTAGCTTTCCTTCCTATATATCATGAAGTGCTCCAACATTAGAGATGAAAAACCTGTTACAAAAAGCCCTGTCTCCTTGCTAGTCCAGGGTAAACTGTCTGCTCAGCTTGTTACTGTCCTTACTCAGGTAGATGGTATCAAGGCCAAAACTATGGGTTACCTTCCTCAGTTAAGCTCCTGGGACTTCTAGACTAGCCCCAGTTGAAGGCAGTTTGAGGTTCTCGGGAAACACTTTCACTTGACGTATTCCTAGGGACCCGGAATTCATTCATTTACTTTATTCAGCAAATTTCTTGAACACCTACTATACCAGACGCTCTTCTAGACACTAAAAGTGCAGTGGTGCTAATAACAGACAAAAAACTGTTCTAAAGCTTATATTCTTGACTCAGAACAGGTGAAGCTAAAAACAAACAAATAAACAAGTTAAAAAGTAATATGACAGATGATGATAAGTGCTTTAGAGAAAAATAGAGCAAAGTAAAGGGCAATACATACCTGAAACCAAATTTTAGGCTCCACAGCAGGACTGGATAAAAACTTTAAAGATCATAAGCATTGAAGAGAGGAGGATGCCTCTCTCTAAATAAATAGCTAAAATTATTGTAATTAAATTTACGCTGTACTTATCCATGCATGTAAACAAGTACAAGAAAGTTCAGATTTTAAAACCTCACAATTCTAATGTTTGTTTTTAAAGGGGTTATAAGACCATGAATTGTTCAAATTCTGTGCTTAGTCTCTCTATCTTTAGGTCTTTATGCCTTTGACTAAGCCACAGAGACCTCAAAAGGTTAATGAAAACCCAGGTCCAGGCAACTTGCAGTCGGCAAACCTGATCATGTCATGGCCTCAAACTCTTCTCGCCTCAGACTTTGTCCTGCAGCAAGAGGCTCACTTGATTTCTCTCTTTCTGTCTCCATCTCTCTCTCTCTTCACCATTCCTTTCAGCAAAATACGCTCCCAGAGAAGGATCTGAATGCTAACTGTGCTGTAATGAAGAGGTTTTGGCTGGAAGCCCAAATCCAATTTTCATCCTCAGCTTTCCTATCCACTGTGTGAACTTGGGCAAGTCCCTTCCTCCCTTGTGCATAAGTTCCCCTATTAGTAAAATGAGCAGGTTGTTCTCAGCCATGTCTGAGCTCCCTGATAATTCTGAGGCTGGAAGTCCAAACTCATTGATGCTGAGCCAGAACTAACAGTCCTTATTAATAATGCTGATATGGATGAGAGTGCTTACTAAGTGCCAGATACTATACTAAGAATTTTACACGCATTATTTCAAAACAATACTATGAGAGAGGTTTTATGATTAGCCACTTTCTACAGATGAGAAAACTGAGGCTCAACAAGCTGAAAAAACTTAAAATAGCCTCAGACCTAATAAGTGGCAGTCTGATTTGATCCCAGTTCTACATGTCACTAAACCCTGTGTTCTTAACCAGTACTGCTTTGTCCATCCAGGAATATGAGTCTTAAGTGCAAGGAAAACATTTTTAATGGTGGAACTTCAGCCATTAAGGATAAGAGGGAGGCTTTAGGGGTAGAAGGGTCCTTCAAAGTTCCTTTGAAAACATTCCACAAAGGTGGCTGCCTACTCCCACTCATACGTGAAACCAGAAAGCTTGATTAATAACAGTAACAATATTAATGAATACATTTCAAATGCTCAATATGTGTCAGAAAGTAACACATAAAATCTTATGACCTCATTTTAAAGATGACAAAACTAAGGCTTAGGGAGCCTAAGCAACTTGCCCAAAGTCATACAGCCAATCAGTGGCAGAACCGGGACTTACACGACAAGCTTATTCTAAGCTGCCAATCAGCTACAGAGAGACTTGTTCTGATAATAATAACAACTAACATTTATTGAATGCTTACTATGTGTCAGGCACTGTGCTTTACATGTATTATCTCTTTTAATCTTTACAACAATTTTATGAGATAAGTACTATTATTATCTCTTTTACAAGTGAAGGAACTGAGACACAGAGAGTCAAGGAGCTTGCCTAAAGTCTCATAGTTAGTAAGTGGGTCTTTATGAAATCCAAAACCTAACCATGGTAAGCACCCCTAAGATCAGGCCCTTACCTGTTGACCAACCTCATCTCTTACTACTCTCTTCTTCATACTTGAACTCCAGGTACATTGGTCTTCTTTCTGTTCCTTTAAGAAGTGAAGTTCATTCTTAGTGCTTTGCCTCTGCTTTTCTTTCTGCTCAAAATACTTCTATGCTAAGTCTAACTGACTTCTTTTCATCATTCAAGTTCAAATATCACCTCTTTGGAGAGGCCTTCTCTGACTATCCAATCTACAGGAGATATGCAGTTACTCTTATCACTTTACAATTTAACAATTTTCTTCATAGCACTCTCTGATATTCTTCTTTTAAATATATTTTTTCAGTAATCTGTCTACATCACTCTCCATAAAATGTAAATTCCATGAGGGCAGCAATCATGTTGTTCTTTTTCAGTACAGCATCTAGTATATAGTAGATGCTCAAGTAATATTTGTTGAATGAATCAAAGTGGTAGATGTGGGATAGGAAACTAGGTCTGTATGACTTTAGGGCTCTTGCTCTATACTCTACTGCCTCTTGATTTATCCCTTGAACCTTCTCTTTTCCACAAAGTGCAACATCTTTTCCAGTTGCTTATTCTAACTTTCTTCAGAATTTGAACATTGAAGAAGAAAATGTCTTCATTTTAGAATGCAAGTGGCAAAGTGCATACCTAATATCCTTAGGCTAGTTTTATTACCCTATCTTTTTATACTTTTGACTTTTTTGTAGAATGTAGGGGTTCCCAAATATCTTTCCCAATATTCAAGGAAGCACTCAAAGAAAGAAGACGAATCTTGAGCATGTTTAAAACTCTTAAACTATATTCAAGTCCTAAGTAAATAACTCTACCTTTCCTTTTGCAGTTTCCCGTCATTTAATTTGTACTTTCTGGCACTTGCTGG